TTCTCTCTCTCTCTCTCTCTCTCTCTCTCTCTCTATATATATATATATATATATATATATATATATATATATATATACATATATGTGTGTGTGTCTCTCTCTCTCTATATATATATATATATGTGTGTGTGTGTGTGTGTGTGTGTGTGTGTGTGTGTGTGTGTATTCCTTTCCCGTCTATTGAACAGAGGTAGAGGTTTATTCCTTGTTTCCTCTTTAGGATTTGGTTTCCAGTTCCTTATAAATGCTTCTCATTCTCTTTTACTCCCAATAACTCCTTGTGTCTTAGTGGCATTATCGCCTTTGCTTGGAGTGAAATGATTAAAAGAGAAATATATATATATATATAAGTCGAATTCATTACATACGCTTCGTGTCACTGGATTATGGAAGTTGATGTTCAGAGAGTGACATTCATGTTGTACAAATGTCTGTCACAATAATTTCTCTAAGTTACATGTCTATTCTTCCATGTAAGAATGTGGTCAAGCTAAAAATCGAGTAGACAGCAATCACACACACACAAACACACACATACACATACATATCTATCTATCTATCTCTATCTATCTCTCTCTCTCTCTATATATATATATATATATATATATATATATATATATATATATATATGTGTGTGTGTGTGTGTGTGTGTGTGTGTGTGTGGAGGAGTCTTTCAACGTATGAGTATCCTACAACCTCATTCAATTTTTATGCTTGCACTCCCGCAAGTAACCTGCATACAAGTCCATGTATTGTGCAACAACGAAGATCTATTGACAGAACAAGAGTAATATTTTTTGACGAAAACAATATATACATATATATGTGTGTGTGTGATTAGAGTTTGGCCTTTATCATTGCATATTCTTTTATTTGTGTTCTCTATAAAGACATTTCTTTCCTATGTGTACATATATGCATGAATATACCTACATGCATAATCACTAACAAATATAGACTTAGGTAAGTAGAAGTACTCATAAATCCTCTATATATACAGCACACGCACACACACGTGTGTGTGTGCGTGTGTAGCGTTAATACGTTTTTATTAATATTTTTATGTTCCAGAAAATGATTATCTAAATCCGAAGCCGATTAATTTCATTGCTCAGAAAGAAAAATATGAAGTCTGCTCAATGAAACTGGTCTATGGTATTCTGCACTAAAAGCTTGACCTGAAATGCTTTAACCTTTTCCTTTCATTAGAAAAACAATTGTATTTGTGTTGGACGAATAGAGGAAAAATAAATTGTAATTTCGACAAATGCGTGTTTTTCTATTCATTCTATTCACGCACACACGTACTGATGAATGAAAAATAATGGCGGGAAAGGGAGTTTTTCTTTTTAAATTTACATAAGTATGTCAGTAAGTGCTTTGATAAAAAAGAAGTGTTTATTAACAACAATCAGGCAAATCAATCTGCAAAAAGCCTATTCATTATTTATATACATATTTATTTACTTTTGCATATAAAGTTTTCTTTTTTATGGCAAGTCTGGGAAATCATTTTTTTTTAAATGTGTAAATTTTTTTTTAATTTTTAAATGTGTAAAATTTTTTAAAACGCGTAAAATTATAGTTATAAATCCATGCATATGAATTTCTCAATATTTCACTATAATCTTTTATATGTTCATCCAAGTGACTTCTTTATTGATTGATTTGCTCCTTTTTTATTTTATTTTTTTTTTACAGCTTATCAACCCTTTGACTAAGAATAGCACTTCTTATGGGAGTGAGTATTGCATTAACAATTTTTTGACTGTAACAATGATTTTTCCAGATCTTCTTTTATGTACCGTGTCACTTCAGGACGTAGGAAATCATGGCCCTCCACACCCTCCTGTCCTCTGTAGCTCTCAATAAGCTTTGATTTTTTGTTATTTCTACCAGACCCTATTCTTTAAGTATGTCACACGTTGCTTGCCCTTGTCCCTCTTTCCCTCTATCCGCCCTGTGAGTATCAGATTTTCCAAGCCCTCCTTTCTCATTACGTGCCCCAGAAATTTCAGCTGCCTCTTCCTGGTATTAAGTATGAGTTTCCTTTTTGTTTGCATCCTCTCCAAAACCGCATCGTTGCTCACATGTTCGGTCCACGGTATTCTTAGCATCCTTAGTATCCTTCTGTAGAACCACAACTCTGTTGCCTCAAGTCTCTTCTTAATCTTTGAGGACATTTTTCCAGATACATGTCCTAGTAATTAACCCATATCTGGTAGGAGAAAATGGATTCATACCTTTCCCCGAGGATATTTTCTCAAAAGTGAATATAACGAACCCAACTGGAATTCGAACTTGGCTCTCTGATTTCTCCATTGCACCACCTGCACAGCCTACTTCTTTAAAGTAGACCAAAATAATATGTGTGCATATCTGGTCAGGTTTTACACAATATGAGATCTTAAGGTATATTCTCTTTCAACCATAGCGAGAAATTAAAATCTACGAAACATGGGTTAAATATTTATGATAATATTCATTAACAGTCTTGCTAGTAGTTATAGGAGGACATAGAGATGTCCTGAATGGGCCAAAGAAAGGTTTGGGGGAATTGGAAATCAGAGGGAGAGTCAAGTTTATCCTGATAACGGCATTACTGGATATAGGTTAAATTTTGAAAAGAATGATAGAGTATTGAAGAAACTTAATGTCTAGCATAAATTACCAGTTATTACTGGTGTGAAGACTCAATGATTTTGATAAACTTTCAAAATATAAGGACGTGGAAACAGATATTGCAAGAATGTAGCATTTACACATAACCACTATTTCAATAATGATAGGAGTACAAGGAATAATTAAAAAGAATACTACTTTTGCAATAATTTTCACCTTGTACAAGTCTCAAGTGCCACTCGAGGTAGAGGGTTACAGTGGAAACGGCAAGAGGCAGAGTTTATGAGGTTATGTGGAGAAAATAACGGTTAATCCTAGACTTGAACAGGTTGAAATTGTAGCGATCGGGGAAGCATCCTCTGGGAAATCAATATCGCAAAGTAGCAGTTCACGGGGAGAAGCTGCTCTCATCAATGGAATAAGAAAGGAACAAGGGTGATTCACTACAATGGACGTGGCATGGCAGGCCTTAGTCGTGAAGGTTAGAACTGGTGGAACTAAGGAATGTAGTTTGTTTGAACACTTTCCATGGAAACAGCGAGAGTTTTACTATGTCTTGTCTGTGGATTGTAAGGTGGGGAAAAAAACTCATCAACCATAAGGCCACGTACCTGATTTTGGTCTCTATCAAGACTAGGAAGTGAAGAATGGCAATAGTACTCCATTTCTGCTTAATTTGGCTCTTTATAAAAAATAAAAATAAAATCAACCTTTAGTAGCACTAATTATGAACAGTATACTGAACGTATTTGAAAATTAGGAATATGTCTATTCTCAGTAACTTTTATACCGTCTAGCACTGAAACACTATTTATTATAGTAGCAAATAATACCAACAAACTTTTGGCCAATTTTTACATACATTAAAAAACGGATAAGAAGGCACATAAAAGAAAAACACCATAAATAAAACTAAACAAAAGTACATTGGTTAACGAAACATGTATTAAGGAAGGGTTGTTATCCAAATACACAATTTACACAGTAAGTCCACTGTTTGGCTCCTTAGCCTTTGTTAAGATATCCAACTAAGAGAAGGAAAACTCTTGACAACATCCAATGATATGAACTGGCTCTTTTTTGGGGGAGGGGGTTATCGGTTGTTCTTGATCAGAGTGGGATTGACCCAGTGCAATCGCTATCCTCAGTTTTAAAAAAATTATACACAATTGAATCTTGTAATGATGTCTTCCGACGGCCATAATTGACAACTAGTTGAGAGCCATCATGTCTGTATGTATTTTAAACTTTTAAAGTTAATTTTTTTTAAGTTTAAAATATCGCGTTCCAACGTATTCAGCGTTTCCTATCTGTGCATCAATGTTTACGTTTTATATTCGCCCTCCCCTTTGTGGGCATGTTTAGTTTCCCCATGGACAGAAACATCATTTTAGTCCGATGAAGAGCCGAAGGTCGAAACGCGTCACACATAAAAAACCCACTTTGTCGTTAATATTTCTAACTTTGTTCTGATATATAAACATTTATATATTATCTTCTCCAATGTATGCAAGATAGATAGATAGATAGATAGATAGATAGATAGATAGATAGATACTGAAATTACTATCTATCTAGCTTGCTAGATAGGTAAAAATAATTATAAAGCTGTTTCTATTTTAAATAGATAACTGTATATTTTAAGAGTTCTCCTCATACTGTTTCCCAAGACATCGTGACGACACTGAAATGAGATTTTAATTTTAGTGGCCAGGAAATGCCAACATCCTTAATGGCATTTAACCCCGAGCGGGAAGGAAATGAATACAGGGATATTTCTACCTGATACCGCTCATAAAAATCCATTTCTTCAGTACGCCAGGGCATTCAACTGGAGCTGCTGTCAAACAGCCTGTTGTGGATCTGACCTGTGAAAAGTTTATGAAACAAGGCACCATATCCTTAACTCTGAAGGGCTCGCCGCATGTCAGCTATTTATTAGTTGCTATTGATACGGAAACGACCTTGAATCGTGTCTCTTTTTAATAGGTTCTGACTCACTTGTAGAACGAGAATGGCGGTCTTTTTAGATATTGTTAAAGAAACGAAGTACAAGACATATTTCTCTTTTTAATTTCTTTTTTTCGTTTTCAAAGAAAAGTTACCGGTGTAAAATGAAGTCTCTCATATTTTTAACCGTCAAAATAGAAAAAAAAACAAACAAAAAAAAAACATCTCTTACTGATGATGATTTTTTCCAGGTATTACCGGTGCAGAGGCCAAGTGAATCATTAATTTTATCACTAAGTTACCCTTTCAATTACTTGATTTCGTTATGCCTAAAATGTATAAATATGAATTAATAATAATCGGATAATAAAAACATCTAAAAATTATCATTCTCTTTCTCTTTCATCCCCACACCACCCACATAAGTCTTACGGCCATATCACGTTGAAACACCACTTCTCGTACGATCACCGAGGTTAAACAACGTTGGCTCTGGTCAATACCTAGATGGGTGGTCGCTTGGGAATAATAGGTGCTGTAAGCTTGGATGTGCGGGTGATAACGGCTGGGAATTGGAACTCGGCGAACAGGGTTCCAGTTTCAGTCGGTTTCGTTATACTTACTCGCAGATACCCTTTGAAAAGGTATGAATCCACTCCATCTCCCCCAGCTATGGGTAACATCCTTCTGTAGAACCAAATCTCAAGTCTTTTCTTCATCTGTAAGGAAATTGTCCGACATACTCTACAGTTCAAAAGTTTGAGGGAACCCATTGTATTTTTTTTTAAATTGACCTCAAAAGTAGTTGTTTTGTACTTTAAACAAGAGAAAATTATTATACATGGTTAAAAAAAAGTGAGACATGATTTTTTATCAAAAATTAGTAAGACTTGTAGCAGTAAATTATCATCTGCAAAAAGTTTTACAATCTAAAAATATTTTCTGTCTTTAAATAACCTGCAAAGGGTTGATAAAACGAAGAAAAAATCAGTCAATCAATTACACACACACGTTCTTATTTTATATTCCTCGTCGTTTCAGGACGTGGGCGATCATAGATCTTCAAAACCTTCTATCCTACGTAGCTTAAAGCAATGTTTACCTTTTTACTATCTATCTACCCTCTGTTCTGCCATCCATTTACACAAGTTCATTAGGTCGCTTACTTAATGTTTTCCTTTCTCCACCTTGACTTCAATATGTCCCGCAAGTGTCTAATTCTCAAATCCTTCTTTCCTCATATATTCCAGAAATTTCAACTGACTCTTTCTGACTATATAACTGTCTTTTCTGTCTCCATTTTTTCTTAAAACGCCCCCATTCCTTCGTCCATGTTATTCTCAGCATCCTTCTGTAGAACCAAATCTCAAGTCTTTTCTTCATCTGTAAGGAAACTGTCCAACATACTCTACAGTTCAAAAGTTTGAGGGAACCCATTGTATTTTTTTTTTTTAAAATTGGTCCCAAAAGTAGTTGTTTTGTACTTTAAATAAGAGAAAATTATTATACATGGTTAAAAAAAAAAAAGTGTTGATGATTTTTTATCAGAAATTTAATTATGACAAGAATTTTATGATTAAATTTTGCTCTCGTCAAAATATCCTCCTTTAGCCTTGATTACTGCAGCACATTTTTTTTGTTATTCGTTGCAAAAGTTTTTGAAAGTATAAGTTTAATAATTGATTCCGTTCTATTTTTCAATGATACTAAGATCTTTTTTTTCATTTTTCTTTTCTTTTTTTTTTTTTCACTCTTCTGTCAAGTTCATCACATTCTAATTCTGCGGCGGCTTCAAACTTTTGAACTGTAGTGTACATTGCATATATTGAGCACACTTTTCTGTGTTTCTAACGACATTTTCCTGTTTTTTAATACTTTGTTTAGCTTTTGGAAGGCATCTTTCCATATTCCAATGCTCCTTCGGTTTTCTTTGTTACATTTTCTGTCGTCTGTTATAAGATTTTACAGATAATGCCTAGATTTGCTTGATCGTGGCTCGCATATTCTCTTATTCTTCTTGATAACGACCATACATTTTGTCTTTTGACAATTTACGGTTAGTCCTTTCTTCTCGTCTTCCTTTACAAACTTTCTGTATTCCTGTAGTTTTCTTTCTATATCATTTACGATGCATTACGTATTTTACGTTGTTAGGCATCAAAAGTAAATCTTGGAAGGACTTCGAGTTTTCTCTGTACACATTTACATATATATAAAAAAGAGGGGTACTTCACTCATTTCGAAATAGGCAACTATGTAAAATGTGTGTAAGAATTTTAGGTTTTGGCATCTACTAAATAAAACTAAGAGAATGTAATTATTTCATCTACCATATTTCTTGTTGCCGCCAACTCCTCACAGATGAAGAAAAAACTTGAAGCATCAAAAATGTGGTTCTACAGAAGGACACTGAGAATACGATGGACCCAATATGTGAGCAATGATGAAGGTTTAGAGAAAATGGAAATAAAAGAGCCACTTATACTTAACACCAGGAAGAGACATCTATCTATCTATCTATCTATCTATCTATCTATCTATCTATCTATCTATCTATCTATCTATTACTGTTTGTTTCTATTACTCTATAACCTATTCAATCGATCTTACATTTTGAATGACGAAATCACCTTTCTGGTGTGGCATATAATGAAGAAAGACGGCTTGGAAAATTTGATACTCATAGAACAGACTGAATGCATACGGGGCGGAAGAAAACAAGACAGAACTTACCTAATGAGCGTGAGAAAATGGCTGACGTCTTAAAGGGACATGTCACATAAAAGAAGAAGAAGAAGAAGAAGAAGAAGAAGAAGAAGAAGAAGAAGAAGAAGAAGAAGATTGCATAGCAATATTTTAACACATGAACACAAAGCTGGTGAAGTCATTTTATTTTATCATACAATAAAAGTCAAATAATATTTTACTAATCATATTTTCATATAATAAAAATAAAATAGTAACATATTTTTTGTAAACGCTGATGACATAAATTAAAGTAAAAGGAATTAATAATTTTCTTCGAATTTTCTAAATATAACTTATATAATAATAGCAATCTTTTATTTAGTTACCCATTTTCAGCCAGCTTCATGCATAAAAATTTTTCAAAATAGTTGCTTGATTATTTTGGAAAGTCGAGATCTATCGTTCTTTACACGTTTTTCAAAATGAATGCATCCACGTGATGACAGATGGAAATATTTTAATTCCGTTTGTTTATTAAACAATTCACGTTCTTAAACAGTATGATTTGCGTATCTTTCTTTAAATTCTTTGCCAGGTGCTCCAATATATATATATATATATATATATATATATATATATATATATATATATATATATATGTGTGTGTGTGTGTGTGTGTGTGTGTAGAGAGAAAAAAGTAAGAGACAGGGTGCGATGGATAAATTGTCGTCTAAATTACGCAAAGCTGAAAATAACATTGGTATCTCATTTTAACAGATATATTTACCAAAATTACACAAAAATATCTTGAAATACTAAGTAAATTTATCCAATAAAATTGCCATTAGCTCGAACACGGCCTACAGACGACTTGGTAATCGCCTGTATCTCTTCTGGATGGTCTTCTCGTTTAAGTAGGTGAATGTCGCCATAATCCTTGCCTTCAGTTCATCTTTTATTGTTGGTCTCTCACTCAACTGCGCCCCCCATATATATATATATATATATATATATATATATATATATATATATATATATATATATATATATATATATATATATATATATATATATAAAAAGACAATAGAAAAACTGTATTATTAACTTTTCGTCCATCGTGGACTTTTTCAAAGCAAAAACGAAATTATTGAAAATAAAATAGTTATTAGCAACAAACAAAATGTCCTTAGCAACTAGAAGAATTTTTAAAACACTATTGTATTCATATTGTCAACTGAAAATATGAATACAATAGCATTTTCTAAATTCTTCCAGTTGCTAAGGACATTTTTTTGTTGTTAATAGTTACTTTGTTTTAAATAAATTCATTTTGTTTTTGCCTTGAAAAAGTCCACATTGGACGAAACGCATCGGTTGATAATATAGTTTTCCTATTGTCTTTTAACTTCATACATATTGTCTTTTCCTACAGGTTAATTCTGAGAATATATATATATATATATATATATATATATATATATATATATATATATATATATATATATATATATCATATATATATATATATCTGGGTTTTTCTTTGTTGTCACTTTCGCCGTATATGTTTTCTCTCTGCAGTTTCCTCGTTGAGGACAGTTCTTTTTATTTGTATAATTATATTTTTGTTGTTTTTGAATTGCTGCTATTTAGTTATGTTTTTTACTTATTTGTTCTATTATACATGCAACTGTGGTTAATCGTTATTGTGTTTCTATTAAATATACATATATATTTAATTCACTTGGGTTTTCCTTTGTTGTCACTTTCGCTGTATATAATGTTTTTCTCACTGCACTTTCCTGCTGGGGACATTTGCTTTTATTTCAATAATTACATTTTTGTTAGTGTTTTTGTATTGCTGCTATTTAGTTTTTATGTTTTTGTTTTTTTCTTATTTGTTCCGTTATCCATGCAATCGTTATTGTTTATAACTTTAGTTTTGTGTTTTATGAAAATGTTTTTCTTAGTTTTTTTGTTTTTTGTTTTTTTAAATGTCCTATGCTTGCGTCATCATCCTTATTGCATAGCAAATTAAAACATTTTATTTTCTCTTTATATTTTATGATTTTGGTATATATTCTAATTTCGTTTTGAATCAACTATTATTTAATGCTATTTAATGTATATATATAATATATATATATATATATATATATATATATATATATATATATATATATATATATATATATTAACCTCACCAGCTCTGTATAGCTATGAACCATACTTGTTCATATAGATTGTTGCGATGAGCCTTCTTTGGTGCCTCGATTTTACAAATTTAAGCTCAGTACTAGATTGGCGGTAAGATCTCATCATTTTACAGTTGAATTGGCTAGATCTAACCGCAAGTTCTATGCTAACATTTTCTTCTTTCGCACTTCTCCTTTATGTAACTATCTTCTGTTTCCTTGCTTTCCAACTAAAAATATAAAAGCAATGGTAATCCTTAACTTCTGCCTTAGTTCTTGTTCTTTTATTGTTATCTCCTCTTAATAATATTTTCCTTTTTCCGACATTCTTTCACACTCAGTAACCTCTTAAGTCTTGGTGGCTTTATTGCTTTGCTTGGGGTGAAATCATTAAAAAAAAACGTTTTGTATCTTTTATTATAAGAGAACTAACAGAATAATTTTCACCTGATGTTGATAATTGATATGTTTGTGCGTATGGAGTGAAGATCACGCTTCTCAACACTCTTAAGATTCTCGCATGACGAAATGCTGAATAGTATTATCAAGCAATCGATCAACATTGCTCTTGTGCATACAGCTGCATATTATCTCGTGATCCATCTACGTGAAAGAATCATTCCTGACAGTTTCAATGTCTCTAGTTACGGTGATGACTAATC